ATTTTTTAAAAAAAAATGTACATATTCTTTTTATTCCAGTCCTGTTTATGTTATAAGATGTATACTACTTTTATAATTAATATTGTTGAGAGTAATGTCTGAAGGACGGGTTGCATTCGAATGGATTCTTCCTTTCTGAAGGATTCACAGAAGTTAATATGTCTCACTTATAAATAAGTTTATTTAAATACAATGAAAAAAACTCCCTTAGTTTTATTAATGACTTAAAAGAATATCCACAAAATACAGTAACAACAGATTACAAGGAGACATTTTATAAAACTGATTAATTTACAATATTGGTTATGTAGTTGAAAAAAGTACAATAGGCTGTTCTTTATTTCAAACAAATAAATACCCAAAATATTTGTATGAAAATAAGAAGCTACACATGTCTATGGAACAAATTAGAGATAACAGAAAACCTGTGATGTTAACAATTCGTGATAATATAATCAATTGTCATTTTAACAGTCTAGTACAGATTTTAAAATCATTATAAATATTTCCTACTATATAATGGACTTGGATATCACATACATGGTGGTTGACGGTACTGGCTGTATCTTACAAAGTAAGACATCATGAAAATAGGGAATATAAAATTAAACTTTTATCTTCAAAGTTTAGTCATTTTATTCAACCAATCTTGGTCTTACTCCAATTTTTAAATTAGTTCATCCAAGATAAAAGTATGTTCTTAATGCTAAACTTGGCTTCACTCCTAAGCATCATACACTTCAATCCATGAAATAGGGCTGCCCATTTTTTTCTCTTCGTCGAGTCAGGACTTCAACACCAATGTCAGTCACCAGCAAAGTCTCTTCGAATTGGGCAGAAAGTTTCCCATCTGCTGTTACTGCTGTCCAGTCATCTGGCCATTGCTCATCTTTCCAAGTGCCTAGAAATACAGTTAACATTAGAATGACATACAGTGCATTTTGTAAATCTAATGGTATGGTAACACGCACACAATAGGATTTTCCTACTCAAGTGAAAAATGAGGAACCAGGGCACTTACATTTGCACTCTATGCACTTGGCTCCTACATAAACAATTTTCAACGAAATGAGATTAAAAGAAACTTTATGCCTTTAACTGACAATGACTGCCACCAGAGCCAAAGAAGTAGAGAACTGTTAATAGACACAACTTGTAGCAGGCTTAACTGAACATAACATAAAGAGACATATTGCAAAAGTGGGTTAAAAGTGATTGATGAAAGTGCTCCCTTTATCATAAAATGAAATACTTTTTATTTATGATGTGAAAATGCATTTTGTCATATATAGTGACTGAAAATTATATTAATAATGAATACCTAAATAAAGCTTTTCCAGAATGACATACCTTCTGATATCATTGGTTCAATTGTAAAAGTATGACCTGGCTTCATAACACCAACAGCTTTATTTTCTGAAAAGAAAAATGTTCATACTGTAATATTAAAAAAACTGTATACGCCCCTCCCTCACAAATGCATTCTCTCTTTCACGCTCACTCGCACACTCGTTTGTTTCCTTTTGCATCCTTTCTCCACTCACTCACCCTTATTCAGATTTGCTAATTTCTCAATCTTACTCACTCACTTCTGCTCACTTTCTAACACTCACTCACTTTATTACCCTCTCATGCTCATTTACACTTGCTTGCTACTCCTCATTCTCCCTATCCTCAGTTCATTTCCTGTAATCCACACACTTGCCTACTCTCTCTCACCCTTAACTAACTTTCTCTCACTCATTAACACACACTCACTTCCTCAGACTCTCACACATATTTCCTTCTTTCCTCTCACTCACACTCACTTCCACTCACTCTCAATTACTCTTCCTACTTGTACCTACCTATGTCCTCTCCCTCTCACTTACACCTGCTCACTCCCTCTCTTACATTAACTTACACTTGCCTACTTCCTTCCACCCATATTTGCACCTGCTCATTTCCACTCACTTCACACTCTTCCTCTCACTCTCACTCACACTCTCTCCTCTCATTAACTCTCTCCACATTTCATCTCCTCTCATTAACACATTTCATCTCCTCTCATCTTCACTCACTCACTCACCACTCACTTACACTTCATTCCTCTCCTCTCACTCTCACACTTCACTCACTCTCACTCATCACTTCATCTCACTCTCACTCACTCACACACTTCATCTCCTCACTCACTCACTCACACTTCAACTCTCACTCAGAGAATATTAATTATAGATTTCTTCATGCACCTGTTTTACATTTACTCTTGATATTCGTTATTATATACTAAGTACAAACCTTAAATATTTAGAAATTGTAAAGAAAAACATCAAAAAAATAATAGATTTTTTTTTCAATAATAATTGTAAAAATAATAATAATAATAGTAAAATATATTATTATATAATAAATAATAAAATTAATAATTTAAAAAAATGATTGATGAAGATGATAATGATCGATAATGATTGATGATGATCATCATCATCATCATCATCCTTAATTATCATTTCATATTATCATTATCAGCATTATCATTATTATTAGTATTAGTATTATCATTATTAGTAGTATTATCATGATCATTATTACTTTTTTTTTTATTAATAATAATTATATTATTAGTATTTATAATAAATGTACAAAAAAAAAAAAATACTCACTAGCATAATGCGGAACAGAAGGTGCTGTGTGGAACAGCTGGTGGATGCCGTGGCCACAGTAAGATCGCACAACTGAAAACCCATGAGAGTGGGCATGCTTTTGAATAACAGCACCAATGTCTCGGTACTTGACTCCTGGCTCAACTGAAAGGAGAAGCGCAGTACGTTGAAGAGAAATCAGTTAGTTAATTAGAGAGCATACACAAAGATTTTAACTTTTATTTTCGGTACATTTTCGTTGTAGTTCTCCGAGACAGGTGGCGTTGCTATTGGGTATACGTCAACCAAACAATGTCTATAATTTCATGTGATTTTAGTTCATACTCCCTGATCTGTATACACAGTGAATAGTTTCTACATGTGTAAAATATAGCAATTCAAAATCATCCTTGAAAGAAAAATTATTGTAGAAAAAACAAAAATAACACATCAGAATATTTAGTTGCAGTCTTTGATGATAGACCACAAGGATGTATGCTGCCCTGCTTTTGTAATCTTAACCCCAAGCCATCGGACATGGCACGTACGTACATGCCATTGCCCATTGTGTGTGATGAATTTAGTAATTGTTTTTACATATAGATGGCTCCACAAGTATTGTCACCAATTAGCCAATTATGCGAACTATCTGTCTCACCTGTTTACCCTTTTCCTTGATTTTCCATATTTTCTAATATTTAAAACTGCTGTTATTAACCCATCCGTCAATACTGCTGTTGTAATTTTGGCTACAAAATGTACCCCGGCGCGGGTGGGTTAATGTCAGTAACAATATAGTAATTATAATGTTTATAACAAAAATAAGTGGCAATATTGATAGCATAAAAAAAAAAAAAAAAAAAAAAAAAAAAAAAAAAAAAAAGCATTTTCCTGCTTTTTCAAGGAAAAGTGAAGTTGCAAGATCTACTAACTGACTCCTTTATGGCTAAGCATTAGAGAGCCATCTATTTGCAGAAACATTTAACCAAGTATTGCCAAAGGGAATGCACCATTTTCCCATTGACATTGGGTTAATTGCTGCTATGTGAGGTTTCCTCTCTTTGGTTCATCATTGCTAATAATAAGATATGATCCTTCAACTATATCCTAATCAGACTAACTTTACATGCTCTGAAGAATATTTAAATCAAGTGCTGCTTACTTGTCTACCAATAAATAATATCAATAGGACAAAGTTTAGGAGACATGGATATATCACTACTCGACCAAGTACCTCCTAAAATCTCTTATCCTCCCTGCTTGTTTTTTCAGTACTTACCAATTTCAATTGCCTTCTGAAGGCACTCCCAAGTAGTCTTAACAAGGGTTTTAGCGGTCTTGTTTACTTCACCAATAAATAAGGTTTCATTCAAGTCACCATGGAAATCTCGATGGTATACGGTTACGTCAACTGCAAAAAGAGTTTTCAGCTTTAGCATAATAAAATAAGATCTTTCCTTCTGATAAAGTCACATTCATCTGTTTTTGACAAATCTAACAGAACAGACTAACAAATCCTATCTTATTGGTTATGTGAATTGTTGCAATCAGTTAGAACCATCACTGGCAAGTAATATTATGGCCCATCACCAGAATCAACAGTTATGAAATCAAACCTTATATTTCTATATACAAGGAAATTGTATGAGTGAATTCTCTCCTAAAGACATAGAAGTCCAAAAATTAAATCACAGACCAAAGTTTCAAATAAAGCCTAAGGATATGGGAATGTATTCATAAAATAAGACTGCACTAAATCCTAAAAAAATAATAATAAATAACAAAGTACAATTTAATTAACTAATACTATCTGTATGTTCTTGTAATTACCGTTTCTGCTAGATAACGTACATCAAAAGCATGTATTCCCTTTAATGATGTATGATCTAGTGAGCGAAAGGGTGGTCTGGCTGTACACAGCACACACCCTGCCAGAAAGGGTAGACTGTCCTGTAATATTTATGTCACAGAAAATTCTGGCCCCATCATGAAAGATATATTATCTAAATTTTTATATTGCAACATGTGTATTTTCTAACTCTGGACCTACACATTCCCAAATACAATTATCCCAGCTGATTCATGCCATCCTTTTTGGAACATACCTACAGTGTCCACTTTCTAAAAATTATACTTAATAACAGGTATAATGGTAATACAATAAATACACTATGCTTAATAATCTAATGTGAATCACTAAGAAAGAAAAAGTTATACTAACTGTTGCAGATATCTCCATTTTGCAATGGCCTCATATCAGGAATTCCATGACAAATGACCTCATTGATGGATGTGCAACATGACTTGGGAAAGCCATGATAGTTAAGAGGCGAGGGGTAACATTCTCTGTCAATAGCCGCTTCATGTATGACCCTG